TTGAGGGCATAGAAATAATCCCAGGCATATCTGTATGTGTGATGGGCTGCTTTGTCACAGGACAGAGTCTTTGCAACTGCTGCAGTGTCTCTAAATGAAGTGAGTCAATGTTATTTGGACAACATTCTTTATTCATTGCAGGAATGAAAAGATTATTCAAATATTCAATTAACCAGTGAATAGGGTCTTTCTGAGAACCAGGTGAGTTCATCAAGTAGAACTAGCTATTGTTGAGCCAACTCAGGGTATAGATTTGACATTTATCAATATAACTTCTTTTTTTTTAAATGACACTCACAATAACCTTATGCAGATAAAGAGATTTCATAACAACATGTTCTAATATAACAGAGACAGGCGCGTTAAGAACAAATGTGCCACAGGAGGGGAAAGGGAATTCTGATCTGATAAAGTGTGTGTTATACAGAATCTGAGATACTTTGTGACTATGCCACACAGTACAAAGCAACAGTGAGATGGGAAGGGCCCATTAGATCATCGCCTTGTCCAGCCCTCTGCCAGTTCAGGATTGTTCCCTATGGCATATTCTTGTGGGCTTTATTCATCTGACTCGAGCAATGGGGCTTCCGCCACTTCCCTTGTAAGACTGCTCCACAGCTTGATAGGCCTCCATGATAGATATTTACCGAAAAAGGTTGCAACTCTTTTCAATTTAGGCCCCAGTTCAACAAAGCACTTAAACACCTGCTTACCTTGAAGCCTAATGGCACTTAAGCACATGCTTGGCTGCTTTGATGAACTGGGGCCAAATTTCAGTGATGTGCTGATTCCGATTTCCCTTTCCAGACCCTGTAGAGGTATTTATTAAAATTAAAACATTCTGAAAGGGCAGCGGGCCCTGTAGCCATTGTGAGGCAGCACGGATTGTGTCACTGCGCTTTGTTAGGGCCCTTCAGCCAGTTTTCATTCCATGTAACTGCTCATATCAAAACCAGCTGGAAACATTTGTGCAGTAATAATGTGTGAGACTCTGTATCAAGTGCTTGCTACAGTCTAGCTACATTGTATCTGCTGCATTCCTTTCCATCATGGAGGGGCCAGTCCTGTAACCCTTCACTCAAATAGACATTTACACAAGTCGTACTATTGGTTTGCTAAGCCTGATTCTCCATCACTTCCAGTAATGGTATCCAATGAGTGAGTGCATTCTCCAAAAGCCTTGGGGTGCTTATCCTACTGGCCTGCTGATCTGTATATATTTAACTTTTCCAAGTACTCTCTGACCTGCCTCTTATCATCCCGTCTCCATTGTCTATTCCAGACTTTGTTTTATTTTGCTTGTTGGAGACAGATTCCAGGAAGAAGTTCAGTAGCTCATCCATCTCAGAACCACATACTTGTTGATTGTGTTTCTCCCCCCACATACCAAGAGACTTCCTTTGCCATCACTGCTTCTCATCTGAATAATATATTTTTAAAAGTCTTTAATCCATTTGGGTAGAACATTAACTCATTCTACGTTTCTGCAGCTCTAAAGCCAAATTCAGTCTTGGTGTAGAACCCTACTGCAGTCAGTAGAATTACCCCAGGTGGAATTTGTACCCTAATCTTTTCCCAGTAAGTCACTGTGTATTCTTGTTCAGCCTTTTCCCTGGGCAATTTCCATTACAGATTCCTTTGTATTACAGACCTTTGGGGCAGTCTCTCGTGAAGGCATTTCCAGGGAACTGCTGAGTCTTTATTAGACTAAGATCTAATAGTGTCTATAACAGGTAGAAGGAAACCTCTGGGCCCAAACAATCCAAACTGCCATGCTCCAAATCTGGACCCAATTCTGACTCTTCACAATATTCAGCTTCGAGACGTTTGAGCTGCCGTCTCTCATCTGAACTTGAACCTAAAGGGGCCCCCTCTCGCCACTGGCTACCTGCAGGTAGACTAACAGAGTTGCTATCAGACATCATGGTAATTGTTGCTGCAGCTCCACCAAGTACAGGCAATCCTGTTAACTCCATTGGCCCAAATGTTTTCAGTGAGGATGTTTATAGCAGGCTCTCATGTAAGTGGGCTCTAAGCTATGATCATTGTGTACTTCTGTAGTAGCCTAATAACATGGAGTATGTATAGTGCCATTTTACCAAAGCCTTTGTTAAATCCACACATCACCCAGATTTCAACGTGTTAGATTTAAAAAATGAAATTAATTAGCCGAACAAAAATGGAAAACTCAAGTCTTTTGTATTTTCAAGTGCCAGAATAGCATCCTGCTACCCACTGGGAAGAGTTGTAGTAAAACTCCTTAAAGGGCAGGCCTGGACTGGCCAGAAAGACTAAGGCTATGTCTACGCTACCACTTATGTTGGCAAAACTTCTGTCGCTCAGAGGGTGTGGGGAAAAAAAGTGGTGGTGTGCCCAGCGCTGTCAGTGAGAGAGCTTCTCCCGCCAGCATAGCTACCGCTGCTTGTGGAGGTGGTTTTATGATGTTGACAGGAGAGCGCTCTCCCATTGGCATAGAGTGGCTACACGAGCAATCTTACAGCGGCGCAGCTGCGTCGGTACAGCCGTGCCATTGTAAGCTCGCTAGTGTAGACATGGCCTTGGTGTAAGAGCGAGCGAACAAGAGAAATGAACTGCAAATCTAGATTAGTGCAATGAAGCCAAACCCTCCCTTGGGCTCTGACTAGAATACAATTAAGTGCTGACATTTGGATAACTCACTCTGATTTTTGTCAAATTGCCACTTCATACTGATTGGTGGCCAGGCTCTGGGTCTATCTCACCTGAAAGGTGGTACCTCCACCAGAACAATCCCACTGGAGCACGGGGCTCAGCATAGTCCTGGAGGGAGAGGTTCCTCCTACCAGTGAGCAGGATCAATCTTGCTTGGCTTATGAGGGGACAGTCCAAGATAGCAGAGCTGCAGATCATGGAAGTGAGATGGGCCTCGATGGCTGCTGGGAAATACCTGACTGAAGAGTGGCTTGATATGGAAAATAAGATTACCGTCAGCCATGAGCCGCATTAGGGCTTTCTTTGTGGAGGGACAGACTAAAGCCAGGGGGTGTGTTTGTGTTTTCTTCGCTCACAAACAGAAGAAAATGCTTTTAAGTGATTTTTTTATCATGATCTTTTACCAGGGCAGCATCCTGGTCTTATTGATTTAAAACCCACAGCAAGGTTTGTAGATTATAAGGATAATCTGTGGATGGTCATGTGGCTCAATGTGCTAGGAGCTGTGTCTCTCAGTAGCTAGGTGGTGGCTCCACACCGGAGAGCTTTCTGCCTTGCATTTCAGTAAGGCCAGTTCCAGGCAACAACAGTGTTACCGGAGAATTGTTTAGACACTTGCGAGGCATAAAGGCTCAGGGTTACTATGTTTGCTGAGCTCTGTTGCCACATTGCAAACCCCAGGTTTAGCAGGGAATTAAGCCAGTCTTTTCATAGACATTCAGAAATGGATGAGCTCTAAGGCCAAAGGCCTATAAGATTTTCTTTGACTGTGTGAGATGGAAGTGGCCACAGCAGCCATTAAAAATTCATCAGCTCTAGAATCTGCAAACGTCCTGAACTGGCAGCTGTTTAGCTGCCTGGATTCTGGCTGTACCCCGATGGCTCTGCAGTATTCTCCATGGTTCTGCACATACGAATGAGGGATGAAAAGGTCCATAAGGTCCTCTAGTTCGTCTGTCCTCTGCTCCTCTTTTTTATAACAAGGGGCAGGTTTCCTGAGTAGGTTTTCCCCACCCCTTATACAGTATAAGAACAATTCCATTTTCTAGATTTGCAACTTCTCTCTCTCCCACCCCCTTCTGTAGATCTCAGAACCCCCCCCCCCCCCCACACACACACACTGACTCTCCTGTTAAGCTGAATGTTTTCACCTCCGGTTGCTCCTCTTCCCAGTGCTTTGTACTCGGCTGGATAGCCCTGCTATGACTTGCCCACTTTCATGGTTTGGTGCCCTCAGCCCCTTGCTGCAGACTCTCATTTCTCTCGGGGGCTGATTGATTAAGTGAACACCAAAACCCATCCCAAGGCTGGTCCTGTGTGGCCTTGCTAGTTCCCTCCCGCCAGCCCAAAGCGCTTCCCTCTCACAAACACCCTCTTTCCTCAAGATCCAAGCCACTTCCTAATGCACTCATGAGTCAAGCAGGTCAAAGAACAGGTGAAAAGGCATAACAAGTTTTTTTCACACTTTTTCTTAGAGAAAACTCTTTGGTGAACATTTGCTGCCCAGCTCTTTTCCCGAGTGTGTGGCCGACATGTTTCACCACCTTACTAGGTCCTGTGGGATGGTCCACAAGAAACTCTCCCCAAAACTCCTCCCCCCCCAGTACCTTCAGGATTTGATGGGAACTTGACAATGGAGCAGGGCTTTATTTCCCACTTGCTGGGAGATCAGTGTTTGGAATTCTCTGTCTCAAAAGTGCTAGTAGATTCAATCAGCTTCAAGGATTGTTTGGACAGCAATGGCCTCTCAGTCGAGTACTCACACACGTAAGAACTGGCTCACATGCTCAGCATTAAATTCATTGCTGAATGGGGCGGGGGTTGTCGGGATTTCCTCCCTCCCTGTGACATACTGGATGGATTGAATCTTTCTTTAGCGCACCCAGCAGGGATCAGAGGAGGGCGTGTCTCACAGTCAGTGCCCTACCATTGCAGTGGTGGTGATACAGGTGGAAGCAGAAGGGTGTAAGCGTGGCTGTTCTTTAGTCTTTCCTGTCTCCTCCCAGGATCCTGTTGCCCCTTAATGCTGTGCTTTTCCATACACAAAGAGCAGCCACGTTCTTGTAGACTTAATCACTTTTGCTTGAGAGTCAGAAAAACAACAATAATAGGAAAGTCCCCGCAGAAGAGCACAAGGTGTGGGCATCTCCACTGTAATGCATGCAGCCACCCTGGGAATGGAATGCAGAGTTCTTAGAGCCCAATGTCTAGGTGCATTGTGGGTCCATAATGTGTGCTGATGTCAATGTGACACAGGGCTGCGCTTTGTGCCATTTCACGAGACGCTGCCTTTTGTTTTCCTGTTGCAGATGTGAAGTATTTGGAAAACCACAGCCTGGCGAAGGATGCTCAGGAGAAAGCCAACGCAGCTCTGCTGGAGTATACCATCTGCCACTACCCTCACTCCGCGGACAAGTTCCGTCAGCTCCTGCTGCGGCTGGCTGAGATCCGCTCCCTCAGCATGCAGGCCGAGGAGTACCTCTACCACAAGCACCTGAGCGGGGAGGTGCCTTGCAACAACCTGCTCATTGAAATGCTGCACGCCAAGCGGACTTGAGTGTGGCTCGTCCCGACAAGAGACTCGTAATGGAGCTTCTCAGAGACGTTCCCTGCTGGGAGCGTGCAAGAGAGGCAGAAGGAAGCTGGGGGGGCTGGCCTAGCAGCACTGCTGTCCATCGCCGCCTCGCCCGGTGATTATATTTAACCAGTACTATTGGAAAGTTTCAGATGATTTATTTTAATATACAGTAACTATGGTTTAACAGTGCTAAGACGAATATGTTCCATTCTGTGTGGACTGCCCTTCTGGGAGCATTGCCTGTCCTACATTTGGCTTTCCCTTTCTACATAGCATCGATTTGGCTTAACACAAATTCCAGGGTGTGGAGGATTAAACCTTAGAAATGGCTTTTCTCTTATTTATGTTCATTTTGACTCATTTTTCCTCAGCAGCTGTCTGCCCTAACCCTGCCCCCTCACCTTCTGCCCACAAACATCTCAGGACCCCACTTGCAAAGGGGGGAGAGAGAGGTAAAAAGGTACCTTGCTGGTTTTACCCTTCCGACAGGCCAGGGCTTCTCCAGATGATGCTCTGTGGTTGTCGCCACCTCCCTGGGGGTGAAACACTTTGTGGAGCTAGAAATGGGGCTGCAGGGGTTGGCCAGGGAGACTGCCTTGTGGGATAGTTTGCAGAATGGAGATGCTAGAGACCCCTGGAATGGACATAGACTGGGACATGGTACTGGGGAAAATGCAACCACCTACATATTCCTGAATCCAGCCATTAGATCCAGGGAGGAGAAATGTATCAGAGGGGTAGCCGTGTTAGTCTGAATCTGTAAAAAGCAACAGAGGGTCCTGTGGCACCTTTAAGACTAACAGAAGTATTGGGAGCATAAGCTTTCGTGGGTAAGAACCTCACTTCTTCAGATGCAAGTGAGAAGAAATGATCATATCACCATCCTGCTCCTGCCCTGTGTCCCAGGGGAGCCTGGGGTTTTGTGCCCCAGAGCCCAGGAAAGCTGTTAGAGTCCCATTTTGGGTCAGGAGACAGTGCTTGAGCTAGGATCACTGTGTCACCACAGCCAGTGCGTAGTTGCAGCAATAGGCCTGCTGACCAGCGTCGGGGGCCTTAGCACGGTGTTGGTCACATTCTGACTGGGGAATCTCCTTGTCCTCTGAGGTCAATATTACAGCACAGCCCCATAGTATCCAAGTGCTGAGTCATTCATCCCTGCGTCTCCTAGCCTGTGTCCTGCAGCCCCTCTGGCCTGGAAGCTGCTGGCGGGCTGGCCAGGCGAGTGTGCCCCTAGGACGGGGTTGTCCGGGCTGATGGACTCCTGCAGTTACATGAATCGGGAGGCTGTTACGGGAAGGAACTGGGAACTGGACAGTAGAAAGCCATCCCTTTCCCCACGAGCTGCCCCCATCTGGGGACCCCACGCCCCGTGGAGTAAAGAGCAGGTGCAGACTCTGGCTGAGGGATGCAGGCACAGTGGAACGTACCATTCCAAGCAGGGTGGAGAGCAGGGTTGCTGGGACAAATTCCTCCCTGGTGTACCCGCACTGGGCTGTCACTGAGCTGAACATGGCCGGCTGTGTGTGCAGGGGTGGGTGGCAAAGGCTCCTTTTCTGAATAAGCAGCTTCCTGACTGGCTAAAGTGCTGTTTATTCAAGTTTTGTGGCTGTGTAACAGGGAGGGCCAGCACTCACCCCGCCCCCGCCCCCAGTCCAGCACAGCAGCGATTGCAAGCTCTGCCCCATCCTGCTAACGAGTGTCCAGGGGGCTGCCTACAGCGGGTGGGGAGCAGGGCACCAGGGAGGGGATTTCAGCCTGTGCTTTATGTCTTCAGTGCTCAGCCCTTAGCCTCAGGTAGGCCCCTGCACGCTGCCCTGCTATGCCCAGGCATGCCAGTGACCGTCCCGAGCAGCTCCATTCCACCCGCTTCAGTGACCCCGGGTCACACCACGGAGGGGGGAGCAGAGTCTGGCCCTGACGCTGACATTTCAGCAGGGAAGCTTGTGACTCCATCGAGCTCTGGCCCCATCTCTTGGCTCAGCCTCTGTCTCCAGGAAGGTTTTCTCCCGCCTCCAGACCTGTCTCACTCTCTTTGGAAGGTTTCCAGCTGCAGCTTCCCTTGCTTTTCAGCATCATGACATTCCCCGTTCAGCAGTCAGGTGCTTTCTCATCCTGGGGCCAGGCCCTCCTGTTTCTTTAGCCAGCAGGACTGCAGTTAATGACTTGCTGAAAGATTCTGTATCTTACATGAAGGCGGGTGAACCCTGGCCATTGAAGTTGGACAGGATGGCCCTCATCTCATAGCAGCTTGTTCTGCTAGCACCCCCAAATGTCCCCTTTCAGCCGTTCATTGCTGGTAGTGCTACAACTGGCCCAGCAGCCGAGTGTTTTTGAAATCTAGGGAACAAAGCAATTGGGGATGCAGTCCCCCATTCGGAGAGTCAATCAAGAAGCACAGTCCCCTGAACCCACGTACTGGATTTCTCCATATAATGCCTGGGATGTGTGAGATGGCAGAATTAGCAGGAATGAACAGGGCTGAGATGCGCCACAGGAAATGGAGTAGGGGGCAAGATGTAACCATCAAAGGACTTTTTTTCCTTACGATATCTAACTGCGACATCTCACCAGCTGCTCTGTGTGTGCTCTCGGGAATGCTTCCCATGGGATGGAGCTGGTGTTAGTAGCCTAGCACCAAATACAGCCACTCATCTGAACACTTTCTTAACGGAGTCAGTCCCTTTTGACCATTTTCTCTGTTTATTCTATTCTATTCTATTCAGGCTCTTTTACACTGTGCCCATCTGCACCATATTGTAGCCTTTCCACTGCGCCTCTCCTGGCTCACATGTTTTTATTTAGTGTCCCCTCCATTTTTGGACACTGAAGTCAAAGCTAAGCATGTGACCCTGATGGATGACTATAGGACCAGGTGGCCCAAAGACCCGGTCCAGGGGTTCTGCAGCTCGGTAATGAAATGGCGACAGCACTTCTGCACATCATGCTGTTCAAGCCATTGCAGAATGTCTAGCCTCCAGAGAGACTATGAGAAGAAAGGGATTTCCTTCTGCTCTCTGGTTCTTCTGTGTGTGCATCTGAATTAGAGGCCATAGTGCAAATGTTCCACAGGTACCTCGCATGCCGGCCATGTGCATAAAGGCTGCCCTGGGGTTCCTGAGCTGGTGAGTAGGGTTTCTACTCCACTCCCCATTTGCCTGCTTCCTCTGGCTGGGAGTAATTAGACCTGCACCATAACCTACAGCCCAACGGTGAGACGTCCCAGCTCCACTGCTTGGTGAGATTCACCCTGGCCACCCAGCAGTGTGTTGCTTCAAGCCCCGGTGTTAGCTTCTGTCTGATGGCAGCATGTTCATGTGTCAGTTAATAGAGCTTTCCCACCCAGGGAAGTGAGAACTGCTGACGCTACAAGACAGCGAGTCCCTTTGACCTTGGGTGCATCTCCCTCCCCCCTTAGTTAGCAGTGGAAGGTAAGACCAGACGGTGCTTTATTCTTGCTGCCACGTTGGTTTACTTCAGCTCTACTGTCCTTTTCTATTCCCCGAGCACTGGACCTTCCCCAGCTCCACTAGAGGCCAGGCTTAAATGACACTGCTATGTGCTCCCTGTTCTGTAGCTCCCTGTCAACACAGGTCATATTATTGGCGAATAACGGCCCTTTGTAACAAGTGGGTTCCGATATATTTTCCTTTCCAGGTGCTTGTTTCTTGTTTAGCGTGGACTTTTGTACCCAGAGAAATGTGGCTTCTGAAGTTTGGCGCTTTACAGGCCTTGTGCGCTGCTGCTGCTGCTGCTGCGTACCTTCTTGGCAGACTTTTGTGACTATAAGCAGCTCGTTTTCTGGAAGCTTATTAGATGCAGATGAGCATGTTTGTTTCTGCATTTCGACATGTTAATGCGTTTTCCTCTCCATGTCTGTGGTTCAGTTTCACTTTGTATTTTGTGGATTTAAAGAGCTGGGGAATATGGTTTGGGCGTTAAAAGACGTTTTATTTTCAGAAAATGAGAAGTGTCCTTAAGTGTCTCTCTCCCCTCCTTCCACCCTCTCCATTCCATCTATGGCAGGAGATTGTTAGCAATGTTCTTGTCAGGATCAAACCACTGTAATAAATTTTGCAATTCACTTAAAAATTGCGGATTCTGCGGGTTTTTTTTAATGTATTTCTAACTCTGGGTTGCTGTTGCTGTCACATCTCGTTCCATTACTGCTTTCTGCAGCGGAGCAAAGAACTTTCCTGGGTTTCAACCCCATGCAAACGGAAGGGCGGATGACGACGTTAAACAGTGCTCAGCCCTGATGATACTGGCCTGGGGCTCCTCTGCAGGGTAACTGAGCTGGCATCCTTAGAAAGAATAAATTCGAGACGAGGGTTGAATTGGTTCCAAGGAGCCACGCAGGTCCCGGCTCTCAGTTTGCCTGAACCTTGGGGCTATTGTGTGGGAGCTGCACATTAAAGCCAGTTGCTCTGCTGCAGCTCATGCCCGACCGTGGTGGCAATAGGCATTGCAGACTGTAGCCCTCTTCATTAGCAGGCAGGCAGGACTGTGACACTTGTACTCACGTGGGGAATATGGCTCATGATTTGATTAGACTTCGCTGACTTCATGTCTATTCATAGGCACGTCTGTGGCGCTTCTCCCCATAGGATCAGAATGGCTTTGCCCAGTGACCCTAACAAGTGAGCTTGAGAGCAGCAGGGTTTAGGGGAGGGTTAACTTAGGTACTAACCACTTGACATGGCTCTTAGTTATAATGATCAGGCTGTGCTAGGCACAGCAAGCAAGCAAAAATCTCTTCTCATACAACTGTAAGAGCTTTTAATATCACACATCCCTAGGGAGCAAACTCACAGCGAGGAGACAGCAAAGCCCAAATAACTGACTGCACGTACTGTGACTCAGTGTCCGCCTGTATTTGTACACACAAACCCTGCAGCCGTGCCTGTGGGTCAGCACCATGTGAGCACAACCCGCTGGCTGGGCAATTGCTGACACTGTCCTAGAACAGTAACTATGCCTAA